ACAACAGAAAAATGGAAGAAAGAACAAATCTTCAACTCAAACAAAGAGCCACCCTTCCCCGCCCAGCATCCCTCTTTCGGTGTGGTTAAAGCAAATGAATCATCATTGAACACCAGCCCCACAAACTATATTGACACATTCTCAGAATTGGTTGAATCCCTTAAAATTTCAGAGCCTAGAGATTCTTTGTTTCAAACATTATTGGCATTATTATAATCAAATCAGAAGACAATGAACCAGAAATTGAACACATTTGCATCACTTCATTGTCTAGTTCCAATCCAACACAGTCCCTTCCTATTTCCTATGGGCATCCCAAAGCCAAGCCAAATTATTAATCAAAACATACATCCAGTCCTGGGCTTCTTTTAGTATTAGATCAATGGCTGAGAAAATGATAGCAGCCGAACTCTCTGCTAAAGGTACATCAAAATATATAATTCCTCTACAAATTTCTTAAAAGAGAAACTGATTGAGAAATAAAAAAACAGAGTATTTCACAAAATAAACATATAATTTCGAATGCAATTAAAGAATAATAGTAGAAACTTTGAATGAAGCCATCAGACACCAATGATTCTCCACATAAGCTTAAAGCTAATAATACGAGTAAAGGGTCAGTTTGGTCCTCGAAGTTGCAAAAAGGGGTCAAATAAGTCCTTATATAGAAGATTCTGTCCGGACGTGCCATTTGAGGTGACTCCCGGTAGAATTTTTTGATGAAATTTTTTGAACATCTTATTCATTAAGTCTAGTTTACTCAAACCAAATTTCAGCTAAAAATTCAATCGGGAAGACATTCAAATGAATTCTTGAAGATAACTGCGATTTTAACGGCACAGTTATCTTCAAGAATTCATTTGAATGTCTTCCCGATTGAATTTTTATCTGAAATTTTGTATGAGTAAACTAGACTTAATGAATAAGATGCTCAAAAAATTTAATCAAAAAATTCCACCGGGAGCCACCTCAAATGTCACGTCCGGACAGAATTTTCTATATAAGGACTTATTTGACCCCTTTTTTGCAACTTCGAGGACCAAACTGACCCTTATCCCCCTAATAATACGGTCCGCATCATGGTTCGATCTAAGAGATCGCATCACGCGGCTTGTCAATTTCAGCTAAAACTAAAGCAAAAAAGGCAGAATAAAATCAACAAAAGAAGAGCTCAAAGAATAGTATGGGTATGAGACAATTATCATCACACTCTCAGAAGGAGGTCAGAGTGGTGCATGACAATCTCTGTATTTCATCATCGCTCTTCTTCGTCTAATGAATATTCATTAATAATTAGGGGATTAATTACTACGTAATAATCAAACCTAATTTTTTAAAAAACGAAAAAATAGGGGGAAATGGATAATAGAAAACGTTCAGAGATAATTTCCGCTATGATGATGAGGAATAGGTGAATGCTCAGAGAAGACTGCGCATGATATATAGGAGCGGAAATTAGGTTTCACCCAAACCCTAATCTTTGTGGAAATTTGAATAGATACAGGCCCGGGTTGAACAAAGGGGCCATACAGATCCTGGTCTTCTGGCCCGGTTGGTTCATTTAAATTCAACCCGACAAGGTGTAGATGTAGCATGAGTAGCAATCCCGTCAGGTCGGCCTGAAACCGCCGTTTGGCCGAGCGCTTTTGGGGCCCTTTCCGGTGGAATATTTATATACCCCCTCTGGTTTTATTTAATCTTCACACTTTGACTTCACACAAAATAAGGAAAGAAATTTGGCTTTACTGTAGAGTACACTGTTTGACACTATAGAGACACTGTTTGACACTGTTGAGACACTGTTTGGCACTGTTTGACACTGTTTTGATGTAGATTTCTTTGCCAAAAAGGGAAATAAGGAAGTGCGAAGTTTATTTTAGACCGTCCCAAAAAGGAAAGTGTGAAGTTTATTAAAAACTGGAGGGAGTATATATATATATATATATATATATATATATATATAGATTAGAGATCATGTGCAAACGACTCCTCCCATGCAAACCTACAAACTATTCATGCCCATCCATCTTAATTAGATTACCACACGGTTGATTTTTTAAGTGATGGGCTAAGTAGTCTTTTTGTTTGTTTTGATTTTTGGAAATAAAATCACTGTACCCTAGCTTTCCATAACTGCTTGCATCGATACTTTCTTCTCTCCTCTCACGTTCATCGGCCATCAACAAGCCCTTTCTCCATGATTGAAAGCTTCTCTTCATCTGTGCTTTCATCTCCATCTCCTTCTCCATTTCCATAGTCACCATTAATAGAGAGCATCTTGGAACATAAGTAACTCTTCATTGTTTTGGTTATAACTCCATCTCCATCTTCTTCCCCATGAAATCTTGCATGTCAGATATTTTTTTAATTCTTTGCAAGATCTAATAGATTTTGATGTTTTGGATTTGAATCTAGTGTGCACATCAGAAAAGAACATCTTTTTTCCATTATGAGTTTTTATCATATTTAACGTTTTGATTTTCATTTTCATGAAGTTCATCAATTCTATATTTATGCAAAAAAAATAAATTTTCTATCTTAATGTACCGGAAGCATTTTGTGACCTCATAATTTTAGTATGCATGTCTATTGGGTATACAATGCAGATGTCATAGCGATAAGATGCAGTATGAACTTCTAAAGTGCATATACAATCATACTAAAATGCAATACATGAACTTCAATTCTAAATGCACATGACACAATGATAAAGTGCACATAGCGATAAGGTGCAATATGAACTTGTAAAATACATATATCAGCGTATTGAAATGCAATATACAAATTTCTAATATGCACATGTTATAATGATTAAATGCAACATATAAGTAAATTAGTAAAATGCAACTACCTAAATGCAAGAGCGACATATTTATAAGTATGTAGTTCTAATATAAATTATGGACATATTATAAATATGTAATGCACATCATCTAACATTAATATGCACATCCAGTAACGTTAATATGCATATTGAACAACCTTAACATGCATGGACTTCTACCTTAATATGCATCATTTCTTACAAACTTAATATGTTAGAAGTTCTAATATAAACCATGCACTCACTATCAATATATCATGCACATTCCATAAACTTAATATGCAATGCTAAAAATGAAAGGTTAATTAAGAAGTGATTAATTCCAAAAATCAAGTTATTTATTTAATGACTTAATTACAATTAATTATTATCTAAAAGGGAAAATTATTTTACAATTTATGAATGCAAAAAGGGATTCCATGCATGGAGAATATATTTGCGCATAATCTGATTACGAGATGTGGATTATGCATGTGGCTGAAATTTGGATTTAAAGAAAATGTTACGTTACATGCCCATAATCTTATGGATTTTCATTTTTCATATATTTGGACGGTTAATATATTAGTGGAAAGTTAATGGAAAGCTAGTGGAAAGTAACATAAATGGTGGGATTTAGTCATTATTCTATTTTCAAGTTTAAGTTTACGGAATCATTAGTTTAAATTGAATTTACCCATTTGACCTTCCCAATAATAGTAGGATGCTATGTGGTTTAGGTTATTTTATTCCATGCATCTCACCACACATACAAAACATACGCCTTGCATATCACGGCTCTCCATTTCTTAATAACGGAAGGATGAGATTAGTTTGTAGGTTTGCATGGGAGGAGTGGTTTGCACATGATCTCACCCCTATATATATATATATATATATATATATATATATATATATATATATATATATATATATATATAGAGGGCTCTTCTCATCAGGCCGGACTGACGGGCTGCCCCGTCCGGCCGAGCCCGTTTGGGCACCTTCCCGGTGGAATTTTTTGATGAAATTTTTTGAGCATGTTCCTCATCAAGTCTAGTTTGTCCATACCAAATTTCAGCTCAAAATTCGATCTGGAAGGTCGTCAAATGATTTTTGTAAGTTAACTGGTCCGGAAAATACATATTCCGGACCAGTTAACTTGCAAAAATCATTTGACGACCTTCCCGATCGAATTTTGAGCTGAAATTTGGTATGGACAAACTAGACTTGATGAGGAACATGCTCAAAAAATTTCATCAAAAAATTCCACCGGGAAGGTGCCCAAACGGGCTCGGCCGGACGGGGCAGCCCGTCAGGCCGGCCTGACATGAAGTTTTCTCTCTCTCTCTCTCTCTCTATATATATATATATATATATATATAACACAATTTTCGTAGAGAATATTTTTGAGATTGAATTTTTAGCCTTCATTACTCCAGGGCCCCTCCCTAAGACCCCCTGGAGTAAAAACAACAGTTAAACAACCAGTTCGATCCGTTTAAAAACCGTAGTATATCCAATCCGGTTCTGGATTCTTTTTTTTTATAATACCGGTTTCTTTTTCAAATATTTTGGAACTTGTTTTTGGAACTAGAGTACATGAGAGGGGTTTTAAAGAATATCACTAAAATAAATTTATTTGCAGGAATATGACTTATAGTTAATTACATTGTAGTGTCATAGTAATTTAAATTTAAAAACTAAATTTAAATTTATTCATAGATTACTATAATTCCATTACTACTCCAGTCACTAGTTACATTTTTTGAAATGATATCTATTCATTGTGATACCAATTGATTTTTCCTTCTAGTTTTAAAAAAATGAACACATCACTGTAATAGTTAATGGCATTCTTGGATGTCGCCAAACAGCTTACGCATCACACACCAGAAAACTAATTATTGTTTATAATTAATAATAAAAGATATTTTTCTAAGAGCAAAAACATTACAGTATTCTAAAATAAGAGTATTATGTATTTATTCCTTAATATGAGTAATTATTGTCAAACTTGAAAAAAAATGTCATGTTTCAAGTCTTATTATGCCAAACCATGAGAGCAATTACTCATGTTTAGGAAATTAAAAAAATAGTTCTCTTATTTTAAATTCTCAAATATTTTTACTCCTATTTGAAGAATTTTCACTTAGTAATAATATAAAGAAATCATAAAATGAATAAATTTCCACCCAGTTTACAATGCCTTAGGTTCATGTATCAGAAGCTCCGCTTATATTATTTTTAGAGCATATACAATTCACGTATGCTCTCATGTCATAACAAAAGAATTGGCTACAAACCTACAACACATAAACACTCCACAAGTAATTACATTTACTCTATGAAAGTTCAGCTTTCTCAACCACAAAATCAGATCAACTCACCAGTCTGCTGCAAACGTATACATCAGCGAACTGCTAAACCCAACAAGGTGTTGCGAAAGTGTACGAAGAGACAACATAATTAACATTGGTTCTTAGAGTTATAGTCTTATAGAACAAACAAATTACCTGTCATTCCAGCCACACTTCAAAATGTGTGCTGTACACTTGTATCTGTTTCACTCTTTTCTGTTCGGTTAGTTGTAGTAAAGCTTGTCTAAGATAAAGAAATGTCACTTTCAGTCACAGCCAATGGAGAAGATGACGGGCTGGTGGAGATGGAATCTGTGACTCTACTACTATTAGGGGCAGTGGGACTTTTGATTACCTTGGCTTCATCCACAGGAGAAGTGGATCTCAAAGGGGGCAAGCTTGAACCTGGCGTGATAAGATCTGGCATATGCTTAGGCTCATTAAAGGTTTTGCAATGAGCGCAATAGTATGCAATGTAAGGGAAATCTTCCTTTCTCGCCAGTCCTGCACCAGTTAAAGCATGCATGAATTGATAGATTTATCGAGAGATTCCACTCCCAGAACCCAATAACTCCCTTGGCTACCACCCACCTTCATCAAATAAACAAGAAAAGCTAGTATCAACCAGTTCTTCTAGAGTCAACTTTCAAGTCCACTTTTATTTTTTGTAAAGCTAGATGCAAAACCGTTTCAATTTTCAAACAGTTCGGATATTTTTTATTGGACTGTTTTCAATTCCAGACCTGATCAGGTCAGACCTAACCACATCATATCAAACAAGACTCAGAGAATAGTAAAATACGCATACACTAGAAGTTTACCACACTAGACTAGAGCAACCTTAAAAAGATCAAATCAGGCCAGACCATAAAATTTAAGTCCAATTACAAACATTCTTACTCCCAAGTCAGTCCTTGAAATAAGATTCAGAGGTATAAGCGACCATTCACATTTCGTAAAAGATTGTAAATGAGTTGACTTTCAGTTTACAAGCTTATAGAAGCTTGTAAAAATTAGGTTTCATTGTTTGTCAACGCCAAGATGCAATGGTTTTAGCCAATTACTACAAACCATCTTTAAAATGAGATTCACATGTATAAGTGACCACTCAATATTAATAAAAGCTTGTAATTGTGTTGACTAAAAATAAAGATGGTACTTTACCAAACTGTTTTGAAAATTGGGATGGAGTATGTAAAATGAATGATGGTGGTATCAGACTCCATACCGTTATGCATATGACAGTGGCAACATATAAGTGCATAACATTGAGTTGGATCCTCTCCCACAAGCAACGCAGCGAGACGTGCTAGCCACCCTCCCTCATGTGGGCTGGGATTATAAGGCCCAACGACCTGCCTATGATACTCTCTCCCATCAGAGTCATCAAGTTGTGGAAGTATTTCTTCTTGTGGGCTACGAGAAGTGGTTTGCTTCTGCTTTCGGTGTCGAAGCCCGCTGGATTCAGCAGCACCACTTCTGCTTCCGGTAGGGGCATTTTCCGTAGACCCGTCATTTCCCAGATGGACTTTCAACCCACTTTCTGCACCAAGCCTAGATGCCAGTACAGTAGCAGCAGCTGCCTTGGCTGCTGGGTCAGGGTCGTACCTCTACGCACAGAAAGAAAACACACTGAAATATGATACATTTGAACCTTAGTGTTATTATTTATACCAATATGATGTTTTATAGACATGTGGTTGTCAATATGATTCGAATATATGGTCAACTATTCTTATAGGTGCTTTACCAAAGCTGTATGCCTTTGTTTGGGTTAGGAACACAATGGAAATGGAGAAGAGCAAAATAAGGTAGGTTTTAAGTGTTGTTTGGTGTGAAAGGAAACGAGGAGAAACTGAAGAGAAATAAGTATTTTGTTAATTAAAAATGTATTTATCACGCAACACTAAAAAACAGATCTCATTTGTTCGTAATCCCCACTTCCTTCACAACAATGAGGAGAAGAAAAAACCATGAAGCTAGTAATACTTCTTCTCTCCTGATTTCTTATCTATTTCAATTGCAAAAAATCATACTTTCCAGTTTCCACTCAAATTTGTTTAACTATTTCACTCTCTTGCTAACCTAACAAACACAGCATAAGAGCAAAAAAGTTGAATGTCCATTTTCACACAAGTAAAAACTCCAGCATTAACAAATTCAAAGTCTGAAAAGAAACAAATAGGTGTAATGCATCAATGTATCTTGACCTGAATGAGCTGTTGTGTAGTATAATAATTTGTTTTCTCTTTAAGCTCATCAATCTTTGCTTGTCGTTCGGCCCGAAGATTTTCCAGTATTTTTTGGTCCTTCCGTTCACCTATAAACAAGCCACAGTGAAAGAAAAATAAGTAGAAGAAGAGCATGGACGATAGACAGTCATCTGAGGCTCTGAACCCAACAGACCAACGAACCCGTTTGGACAAACAAAGCAACCAAATCAACTAATTATGGGATAATCCCATCATGGTCAACTTTCAACTAATGCTAGAAGAGTGAGTCTAGGGACATGTGATTTGTGTCCATTTTGAATGTACAGTCCATGGCAATAATTTATTGGATAATAAAGAGTTGGGCAACTTTTAATCATCCAATAAATGCATGCCATGTTGGAATCTATACAAAAAATGTCTCCTTAGACTTAATGATGCTGGAATCTATACAAGACCAACTTATATAATAGTTCGGCTTCCCTGGGTGCAACAAATAATGCGTTTTATGCATTCATTGTGATGGCCACAAACCAATGAACCATCCTTTACAATGAATTATTACATTATATGCAGAAAGCATGAAGGTGAAACAGAGACGGGATAAGAAAACCACGTCGACTCGTCAAGCAACAAGTGAACATAAATATTAACAAGAACAGACAATAGTAGTAACTGTCCCCCCATCACATTAATCCCATTCAATTCTCTGATTATTGACTTCAACTCATATAGATAGTCATTAGTCACGATATTATATGTATATGTAGGGAAGCTATAACTCAGTATAAAGAAGAAGATAATTAATAGTCAGTATCATGTATAAAGAAACTCAACAGATCTAATATAAAAAACTTGAATGGAAAGAAGGAAACAGAATGGAAAGCCGTGAAAAATAGTTACAATCACCAAAACTTGAATGCAAAGACTGGAAGGAAGTTAAAGGAAGCTTGATTGACATAGGCTACTTACGCATCCTTATAAGGCTTCCAACCACTGAATGAGCAAGGAAAGATAAGAAAGGTAAAATGAACATAGGCAAAACTCGCAAAGCCCGCATTTTCCAGTCCATGTCAAGTGATCTTGTAGTCATGATAGCATAACCCACTGCAATGACCTGTCATCAAATATAAATATTTCTAAGCCAAGAACTCTTAGAAAAGATAGTTATTGTTTTATGTGTTTCTCTGCAATTGCATTATATATTTACAAAATTACATCAAATAACAATTGTGCATATACATTCCACAGCCAAAACTTAAGAAAGTCAATACATTTTAAAAGGAGCCCAATACCATTAATTGAATAATGTTTCAAAGAGCATGGAGATAAGAAAACATAGAAATTATGCTTATTAAGACTTTAAGAGCCACTTCCACCAAATTAGTAAGTCAAAGGTGTATGGTCATTAGACTGATGATTTTCCTAAACTGATGAAATCTGAAAGGAAAGCATTAGGTAAAAATCTATTCCAGCCAAATAAGTAGGTCAAGTGCTATTTAATCTGTTCAATATGATTATTCAGTTGATAATCAGAATCAGCAGAATAATCCCCTTTTGGCTACTAGAATGGCTCTAATAACCAACAACGAAGGATGTTAAAGGTTAGCAAAGTTGCCCTACAATATGCAAAGGATAGGTCCACATAAAAATTATAAAATCAATGTTGTGTGCAGCAAGTATCAACCGTGAAGCTTAGCATAATGCTACATTTTAAAAAAATGTACGGAGTAACACAAAAGACACTTACAAAAGTTATATTTGGCCTTGTGTAATTAACATTGGTATAAAGGTGATGTGTTGAGAAGCGGGATCTCCGTGCCATGTGCTAATTTTGGAAGTGTTTTGTAATATTTTTTGAACTTGTAATATAACCAAAAGGGTAATTGCTTGATGACATGTGTAAATAGCCTAATAGATTATTTCAACTAAGTCCATGCAATGATGTTCAAAAGATTGTTGACTATTTCACTTAGGCTTTCGGTATTTCTAAAATAAGCAAACAAACAGTTACATTAGGATATTTCATAGAATCATATGATCAGCTCAGGAAAGGTACTTTAGCACATCTCAATACTATCTTAAGAAACGTGAACAGTACATGGTCGTTTAGAGAAATGTAAAAAACCCCAAGCGTAACTCTGGGAACTTTCCCTAGTTCTAAGGATGCTTTTGTCAAATAGGAGTTCATGAAGGCCTAGAAATTTGAGCCTTGAACTTTATACAACAAAAAACTCATTTAGTTTATGCTACCAAAATAATAAAGTAGCCAAAACAAAGCATTACTTCGGAAATTACAGAAAGCATAATCAGATGTCTGGTCATTCTTCCCCAACATTGTGAGCGTTTTTTTATTCTTGCCAATATAGCAACCTCCTCCTTATGAATATATTTCAGTCTCTTCTCAAAATCAACTTCATGTAAACTGAAAATAGCATTCCACATTCTAGACACCACTCCCTTATTTTTCTTCTTCTTTTCTTTCACATCATTGTCAGTGGGCGTCGTGGGTACATCGTTCCCATCATTCTCCTCATAACCTTCATCCATTTCCTATACATTACAAATGGAAAGTTTAAACCAATAAAACAACCTTACAAGGAGAAGTTAGAGAAGGACATCATCCTGCCATAAACAAATTGGACCATGATATGAAAAACAAAAACGCCTTTCAGGAAGCCTAGCACATTGTGCATCAACGATACAAAGAAACCAACCAATTGCTAAATAAACAATTTTAAATAAACTTGACAACAAGAAAAACAGAAACTCCATGGGCACAAGAGAGTTTTCCTAATACCAGTGAAATTTAATGAATTAACTCATGCTGAAAATTAAGAGCAAATAAGCACCGCAGGCAATCTACGCTCCAAAATAAGTATATTTGCATTGATGAAAGGGATATTTAAACCATTATCTTTGAGAACACATTTCTTTAACAAATAAACCAAATCAACAGAGTAAGCCAACTCTTCCAAAATCTAATTTAACTCCAAAACACCCCAAACTTATGGAGATCAACCAGTAAAACTTCCAAAAGTTTAGGTAATCGAAATAGCCGGACACAAAATGAAACTCAATTACTCCGTGTAAGATTATTACGTAGTACGCAGTATTAATTTTCAAAGTAGAAAAAGAAATACGAAACCTACTACTAACAAAAACTAAAAAACGAGCCACAAAAAATTGTTCATGATCGATGATCAAAATTGGCGTACATAACCGCTTGAATTGACGCGCGAGATACTGTGAAATTGCTTAACCTGGAACGAGATGTGTTCTGTTGTGGATGAGCCCACAGTACGCGTTTAGACGGTTAGTTTTGGGAACTAATAATCCAACCAGCAGTTTTCTTACAATAATCCAATCTTTTGGTTATTCATGAATAATCCAACCTTTGCACCTTATCTTCATTCACTGGTCCCTGACCGGTTGATGACCTGCTATTCCAAGTTATTTTCTTATCTTTGCAAATCATTATACTATAAATCTCATCTTTCACAAAGATAATATTTTGCAAAGATAAGAAAATAACTTGGAATAGTAGGTCATTAACCGACCAGGGACCAATGAATGAAGATGAGGTGCAAAGGTTGGATTATTCATGAATAATCAAAAGGTGGGATTATTCAAAGAAGACGGCTAAAAGGTTGGATTATTAGTTTCCATTTTCCCTAGTTTATATTGATTCCCCATATTACTTCGTATATATGGATCGATGAAGATTCATTTTCGACTTTTGGTAGGTTGGGGTGAAGGGAGACTTACCAATGTGATAATCATTTGACGACCTTCCCGAATGAGTTTTTGGCTGAAATTTTTTGTGGATAAACTAGACTTGATGAAGAACATGTCATAAAAATTTCATCGAAAAATTCTACCCGGAAGGCGGCCAAACGCCGCCGTCCGGACGACGGTTCCGGTCAGGAATTCCTGACCGGAAGAGTACTCTATATATATATATATATATATATATATATATATATATATATATATAATAAAAGGTGTTCTGAGTACATTAGGAAACATAATAAATATGGAAACCTAATTAAAGTATTAATTACTCTATTACATCCCCTCAAGCTGTGCATGGGAAACAATGCGCATATTGTCTTGAAGAAATATAAACCGCTGTGGAGACAAACACTTAGTAAATATATCTGCAAGCTGAAACTGTGTAGGAACATAGCGAACAGACAAATCTCCATGAGACACTCTCTCGAACAAAGTGATAGTCGATGCTGATGTGCTTGCTGCGGGCATGCTGAATAGGATTGGTGGATAAATAAGAAGCAGAAACATTATCACATAAGAGTTTCACTGGCTCTCGAATAGGAAACCCGAGCACGAATAATATGGACCGAATGTGTAAAGTATCCTGAACAATGTAAGCAATGGCCCTGTATTCAGCCTCTGTAGAAGACCGAGAGACAGTAGGCTGTTTCTTGGACTTCCAAGAAACTAGATTCGGCCCCAGAAAATAGCAAAACCAGAAGTAGACCTGCTACTATCAGGACATCCTGCCCAGTCAGCATCCGAATATGCCTGTATAGTGGGAGTGGTTGTGCTCGGCTGAAGCAACAGACCATGACTAATGGTCCCATACTCCCATGTAAGTACATGAAAATGCGCTTAACAGCCAAAATATGTGATGTGCGGGGCGCATGCATAAACTGGGAAACCAGGTGAGCAACAAATGTAATATCAGGTCTAGTCATAGTCAAATACTTTAAGGCACCTACCATACTTCTATACTCAGTAGGATCTGCCAGAAGATCGCCATCAGTGAGAGAGAGTTTAGTTCGCGTAGGAAGAGGAGTACGAACAGGCTTGAGAGTGTGAAGATGAAACCTGGTGAGAAGATCAGATACATATTTTTGTTGGGACAAAAATAGTCCAGAAGGAACTCGAACAGCCTGGACACCTAGGAAAAAGTGTAAATCCCCCAAATCCTTCATAGCAAAGCAGCGGCCAAGACAATCAATAAATGTGGAAATAAAGGATGGTGAATTACCAGTGACAATAATATCATCCACATATAGAGAAGATAAATAATCGAAGACCCATGAGAATAAATAAACAAGTAATTATCAGACTTGTTGCAAACAAAGCCATGAGTCAACAAAAAGCTACTAAACCGATAAAACCAGGCTCTGGGCGCCTGTTTAAGACCATAAATTGCTTTCCTGAGATGACAGACATGGTGAGGAAAATGAGGATGAATAAAGCCAAATTACCATGTAAACTTCTTCAGTCAGATTACCATGTAAAAATGCATTTTTAACATCTAACTGACGAATATCCCAATGAAACAAAACAGCAAGTGACAAGACTATACGAACAGTAGTGGACTTAACCACAAGACTAAAAGTCTCAGAAAAATCCACACCAGCTTGTTGAGTGAACCCCTGAGCCACAAGACGCACCTTATACCGCTCAACATCTGAATTAAATTTAGTTTTATAAATCCATTTAGACCCAACCACATTTTTATGAGGATTAAATGGAACCACATCCCAAGTATGATTATAAATATGTGCATTAAAACACGACGGATCTTTAGGATCACATCCCATTTAGGATCTTTATTAGCAACAGAAAAACACGACGGATCACATGCCGAAATATCTGTTTTGAGATTAAAAATATGTTTGGGTTTAAAAATTCTAGATTTTTCCCGTGTTTGCATAGGATGACAATTTACCGGAGAAGGTGCTAGCGGAGAAGGTGGATGTGAGGGAGATGCAGCCTCGGCCGAGGCCGAGGAGTGGCTGGATGGAGTCGAGGATGAACTGGAGTTCGATGGGGTAGATGGTGCGGTTGATGCAGGCTGTGAAAATAGGAAATTGTGTGAAGGGGAGGCAGGCTGGGGCTGCTGGTCGGTCTGTGGGGTGAGCGGTTTAGTACTAACAACAGGTCGGTGGGGAGTAAACGACAAGGTAGAGGCGGGAGGTGGGATGGTCTCATGAAGTTGGAATATATTAATCGGAGGACAAAGTGGCAAGCTCGATTTTTCCAAGGATGCAACTAAATCAGAATATGGAAAGTGATTTTCATGAAAACGAACATTCCTATTGATGTAAATCTTGTCAGTAAGAGGATCAAGACACCGGTAACCCTTATATTCAGGAGCATAGCCTAAAAATACACATAAAGTGGATCTAGGAGATAATTTGTTTGATGAATTGGCATTAAAATTTGGAAAACAGGCACACCGAAAGATGCGCATAAAAGAGTAATCAGGCGTATGGTGAAACAATTTTTCAAAAGGAGTAGCTCCATTTAAATTGGGAGTAGGGAGACAATTAATAATATAGGTAGCTGTAAATACGGCATCTACCCAGAATGTAGCCGGCATTTTTGCTTCAAAAAGCATAGTGCGAGTTAATTCAAGTAGATGTCGGTGTTTACGTTCGACAACCCCGTTCTGCTCAGGCGTGTCGGGACAAGATTTACGAAACAAAATGCCATTTTGAAGAAAAATATCCTGCATACCATAATTATCAAACTCACCCCCTCCATCACTTTGAAAAATTTTAATCTTGGAGTTAAGTAAATTTTCAACCTTTGTTTTAAAAACTTGAAAATGCCGAATTACCTCACTCTTATGACGCATTGGATAAAGCCAAGTAAATCGAGAAAAATCATCAATAAAAATAACATAATATTTAAAACCATTCGGTGAAAGTATAGGAGACTGCCAAACATCAGAATGAATTAAATGTAACGGAGTAGTAGATTTATGCCACACTTCTTGAAAGGGAACCGGTGCGACTTTCCTAAACGACAAGAAATACAATCATGAGAAAAATTGGACGTACTAAGAATAGTGCCAGACTTTTTAAGCCTATTTAAAATACGACTGCCACAATGTCCCAAACGACGATGCCATATCAGTCCAGGAGCAACATGAGAGCTGAGAGCAATTGGTGAAGAAGGTAAGGAAATCGGGTAAACGCCGCCAGTATTAGAAGCTTGAAGGAGCACCTTCCCCGAAGTGTTGTCCTTTACACAAACATAATTTTTATCAAAAATAACAAAACAGTTATTATCGGGACATAATTTTTGAATAGATAATAAATTATATTTAAGATGAGACACATGATAAACAGATTTTAAATGAAGTGGCATAGGTAGAGTAGATAAACGCAGATCACCAATAGTCATAACAGGAAGATTAGAACCATCCGCAACCGTCACTTTTAGTGGCCTATAATAAAAGGATGTATTTTCTAAAATACCTTCATTAGCGGTCATATGAGCAGAAGCACCCGAGTCGGGGTACCAAACAGCAGGAATGGATTCTCCTGTAGAAACAGCCAAAGCATGAGCCTGTGATTGAACAAAACGAGACGGGCACACAACAGTAGAATGACCTGGAGAATGACATAGTTGACAGACAACAGGAGGAGGAACGGAACCAAAACTATTCTCAACCGATGGAAATCCTGCAGAACCATAGTTAGTACAAAAAGTAGATACAACAGGAGTATAAGACAATGACTGGACTGAATTACATAAAACTGTACCCGGTGAACCCATCGGATGTGACTGCATAGGACCTCGCCCGTATACCCCGGATGTGACTGGAAAAAGGAAAATAAATAACGTTTTACCGGAAAAAAATTGCTGGAAAACTGGAGATATGAAAACCTGAAAATGTGTTTACCAAATCATTTTCAAAAATTTATAAATGAAATATGTCTTTCTTTTCCTTAATAAATTGGAGAAGTAAGTTTTATTGGTTTTTCAAATTTGAAATACGGGGATGATGGAGTGTTGCTGGAATGAATTTGCAAACTTACGCCTAGTGGTGGAGCCGGTCCTGCTCTGATCACAGTTCAAGTATGGTCCAGTCGATGACGCCACGCTCCAGTCCAGTAAACGACCCGACGATCTCTGTTTGGCCCGACCAATGACCCAGCGGTCCCTGTCAGGTCCGGTCGATGATCAGGCAGTCCAATCCAGTCAACGACTTGATGATCCCTGTCCGGACAGGTCAACGACCTAGCAATCCTTGTCTGATCCGTTCGACGAGCCGACAGCCCTTGTTCGGTCCAGTCGATGACCTAACGGTCCCTATTCGGTCCGGTCAATGACCCGATTGTCTGTATTCAGCCCGGTCAACGACCCAACATTCAATGTCCGGTCTAATCGACGATCGGAGAGTCTCTGATTGGTCTAGTCAACGACTCGATGGTCCCTGTCTAGTCTGTTCGATGACCCGGTGGTTTGGTCTCCGTTTTTTAAATTATTTTTTCAGAGTTCCAAAAGAGCCGTTGGGACCGCCCGGTTTCGGTCCCAAC